TAGATTGTTTGTTTGATTTAGTTTTAGAATTATTATATTCATCTCGTATTGTTTTTTATTATAGAAATTTGTTATGTAAAGTTATGGAGCCATTCATTATTTTTTTCATATTATGGTTTATTTTCGAAAAAGTAGTTTATTGTTATTGAAATTTTTTAGTTGTTTTTCTTTCGGACTGACTTTTTATGAAGTGTTTAAATTTGTATTTTTTCATTAATGTTATTTTTTTCCAGCTTTTTATTAATGATCGTTTCATATTCACGTTTGTTTTTTTTATGTTCGTGTGTTTGGTTTTTTTTTAGTGATCGTTGTATGTTTTTTTATTCGTCTTAGGTTTTTTAACTTTTTTTTAATGATTGTTGTGTTTTTGTGTTTTTTTTGTGTTAATGTGTTTTTATTAGTTTTTTTCATGAATGTCATATATCTCTTTTTTGAGACATATGATGTCTTTTTTATTTACGTATTAATACAAACGGAACTTTTGAAGAAATCGTTCGTTCTATACTTATGGTTGATGATGCTTTTTGTGATTTACATTTGCTCAAATCTGAGGATATAACTGTTGTTTCATAAGGAAAAAATAGATATATTTAGCATTGGTGATGGGGTAAAGAGACAAAATATTTAATTATATTTTTTGAATTTGACAATAATGAAAAAATTTAGAGAAAAAATTATAATCTAAGTATTGTCTCTACAGTTGATTTAATGTAATCTATCTCTTTTTGTAATTTCTTCCTGATTAATTTGACGATGAAAAGAAAGAAGGCAACCAGGATAATAATAACAGCGGATGCCAGATACGTATAAATGTTTTGAAAGATCTGTTTAATACTTGGTTTTTTCGAAGATAATGCAGTCATTAATTCATTTATTGTTTTTTCATTTTGAGATTGATATGCAAAAATGATTGTTTGTATCATATCTTTTATTGGAAGGAAGATCCGAGCTTGTGAGTGAGAATATGTTGGAAGATGAGATGTTACTAATGTGCGACGTGGTGTACAAGATGTAGTAGGTATTTTTAAATTCATGCATGTGATTGGTTTGTTACACGGCATACTTACAATAGCAGGTTCATTAATTGAAATTATTTCTGTTCTATCATCAGAACTCGAATAGATTTGACATTGTTCAGCATGATGAATGTTAAAAAAGAACCACAGTCCATCATCAATCTGCATAAAGTCTTGTTCAATGTTTTTCGATCGCGTAACTTCACACATATTTGTAGATGATTGAGCATTATCTAGTAGTTGGGAGAGACATGAAGATTTTCTTAATGGTATAGATATTGGCATTTTTTTGCACAGAACAAGACGTGAGAAAATACATTGTTTGATATCAATCTCTTCTTTCCAAATGATAATTTGTTTATCAATGGGATCTATTCCGATTATTTTTGGCAGATTTGAATACACATACATATCATTATTATAAATGATTGGCAATGGAGCCAAACGATAAACAAGAAATGTTGATGAAGTTTCAGGTTGAACACGCAAAAATAATGTTGAAATAGCTATGCATGGCTGAGAAGGTAATGAATTTTTTTGAACCAATGAACAATAGCGTAGAGCAAAAACAGATTGTCCTACAATATACTGAAAGAAAGTATCAAGTGATTCTTGGAGATTAGAAATAGTATAGTAGCTATCGATAGTAGAAAATGCTGCTGTTAAAAAAACCTTTGTATCATTATTAGATAAAAATTCTAAACCAACTTTATTGATACTTATCTGTTTAAGAAATCTTTCAATTGAATCTGAGCGCAAGCGAGTAACAGCTGGATTATTTTCAACGGTGTTGCTTGAAGACGTTGTTGTGAATATATTGGCCATATTCCTATTGTAATGAAATTGATTGTTAACAAAGTGGACAGTTGACTTGGTATTTCTAATAATATTATCTGGATGATACTCTTCAACAACTCGAATGATGTCTTTTTCTATGAGTTTCGATACACTGTCACTGTCATATGATGATAATGTATGAGCCATGTTACGAGGTGCCATCATAGTAGTGAGCAGTGCAATGTTTGTATCTACCGGTGCAGATGCATATTGACACACATCTATTTGTGGTGATGCAATACAAAACTTAGATAGAGGTATGAATGTATGTATGACTTCCTCCACGAGATTCGGTGAATATACACCTAATCGTTGAAGAGTATAACCTTTCTTTATGTCAATTACAACATCATTTTTCGACCAGTCTCTCAACGACATAACTAGAACAGTCCCAATTGAATTAATAATATAATATAAGAAACATAATTTTTTAACATTAACCATCCTAATATAATATATTTTGATGTAAATATGTGCGACAAAAATGTATAGAAAACAATTTCGAAAATATTGCAAGATAGTGGTGATTTTATTCTTTTTTACCTATCGCTTATATGTGAGCGATATTTATCTAAGAGAGAGAGAATCAGATAAAAAGTCGTAAAGTGATTGGTGTAAACAGAACGAAAAAAATGTTTGTGACAATAATATCCAATCAGTATTTATCTTTTGATTTCATTAAAAGCATGAAGTTTATCTTTACGAAAAAAAGATATATCTTTTAATTCATCGCAACCGTTTATAGAATATATGTAAAAGATACCATCAATGATATTCATCAAGCCGTTGGTTATGATTAAGCCTATCTATTAGAAAATTATTCATGCGTATTATTAGTTATCAGCATATATATTTATCTCATTGAAATGTTTATATTGCTTGTGTGCTTGACATTGTATCCCAAATCAATCTTTTTAAATAATAAGATAACAATACAATTGAAGTGATTTATTATTTAAAAAAAAGCATACAAATAAATAAGAACAAGAAGAGAACATGTACGATCAATTACAAAGGAAAGAAAAAAAAAATATACAATTAATTAGAAGAGAAGGAAAGAAAAAAAGACAACTTAAGCGATGGCATGAATGGCAGGGATCGACTGTTCGGTCAGCTGATTGAAAGATATTTCTCTTTCTAGAATCAAAAAAAATTATCATAATACAAAAAAAGATAACAATCACTTACCTCGAACTGCTTGACGACGTCGTCTATATTCATCAGATGATTTACAAAAAAACCAAGCAGCCTGAAAAAAAAGTATATTAATTGAATGAACAATTACATATCTCTCAATGTTTACCTTGCAATGACCATTATTTACATAACATTTTTTTAAAAGACTAACTATGATGGATAAAACCGTGACAATTAAAATAATTAAAGGGGGGAGAAGTATTTTGACTTTTTCGGTGGTGATGTTGATATTTTCGGCAATTTTTTTTATTTGTTCGAATTCATTGGTGATGTTGGTGGTGGTGGTGGTGGTGGTGGTGGTGGTGGCAGTGATGGTAATGGTGCTGGTTTTCATATAAGATTCTTTATTGATTAACTCGACCAAACTATTATATACCTAAATGGTAACATCAATAAGATAGTTGTTTGTGACTCATAAGAGTTACTTACTGGAGCAGAATCAACACCAGCAAGAAGAGCAAAAAAGACGATAAGAAAAAACATATTAGACATAGTGAATAATGAATGATACTGTTCCATATTTTCATTCTATATTTATAGGTATACACGTACATGATTGTTAACCAATTGTGTAATTAATTCACAATGATTGTTCTTTCTATGTTATACCATTTTGTTAGTATTGTCAAATAGTTCAAAGAATGTGCAAAGAAGATACTAAGCTTCGTTGTTCGTTTTTTTATCTTTCATGTTCATCAATCAACTCTTTTTCCGTTCTCCTCGTTGAATACACACAGTTATTTTTTTCTTTCGTTTCTGTTATTTTTCCGTTCTGCTGGTTCAATGCACTGAGTTATTTCTTCTCTTTCGTTTCTGTTTTTTTTCCGTTCTGTTCGTTCAATACATAGAGTTATTTCTTTTTCGTTTCCCTACTTTTTTCTTTCCTATTGTGCTTTATCAAGCGAGCAGTTATATGTCAAAGCAAGAGGAACGACAAATGTATGTGAACATAGTGAGGTGTCATTTTAACAGTTGTATTTTACATCTCTTGATTATTTTTATATACAGATACAAGTTGAATTATTTTTACAAAAAAAAAACATATTAAACATTTTTACAACATAATGGAATGAATACAAAAAAAGACTAAAATTCATATATTTGAGTGTAAATAGCCATCTCAACAAGGTCTGTTGAAGAACGAACAGGTCGAACACCTTGTTGATCGTCGTATATATACAAATCTTTGTCTGGTCCAATTAAAGTGGTGGTGAAATGTGCATTTCGATGATTGATAACCGCGCGCAGCTTGTATCTATTAGAGAAAAGAAACAATTAAGAAAAGAAAATAAGTAATCAAGAGCATTTGTATGTATTTTGAGTTCAAGTGTATATAAGAAGATGGCTATTTTAAAATGCTTACTAGATGTCATTGGCTAAAAGATAAATGAAAAATAAAAAGTATTTTAAATACATACTTAATAGAACTGATTCTAATCGTGTCTTTAAGATCACGAAGTCGGACTTGGTTTGGTTCATAGCCTTCATTAGTTCTTCTTGAAAATGGTTTTATACTTACGATGATTATGGGAGGATAACCATAATCAAATGTAACTGCTGCTTGAATATTTCTAGCATTACATACCCAGCCACGTCTTGATAGAAGAAAATAATTAACACTTTCAAGAGAATAGACTCAACATACGCGTATTCAGTGGTGTTTGTTTCACAATTGAAAAATGGAACACGACCATCTTTGCATTTCTTTTGAAGCGCTTCAGTTTCACTCATTTCTTCTCGACGTTTCATCATTACTGGACACACGCCCTCAGTTTCAATCTCAAATTCTTCAATGTGCTCGTCAGTCGAACTAGAAAATAATTGATTATGCGAGAGATTTTATTGAAGAATTTATTCTTACAAAATGTTCAATTCAGTTGATTTGTTTTTGCGTTCTTTGCTGGGACAATCAGCTCGTGAACATATAATTTCATTTGAGTGGCGCTGTTGAACTTTGAGAAAAGAAAAAACGAGTTCATCAACAGAGCCGAATAGATCTTTGGGTTTTAGTTCAGTTCCGTTCAAAATATTCAACTTGAGTAGCCAGAAAATACGTGCAGCGTCCCATCCATCTTTTTCTACGATATTGAAAGTTTCGACTAGTGCTGTATAAGGTGATGATTTTGACGCTTCTTTGAATTCAGTGGAGATAGCCACATCTGTCACATAAATGAAGTAGATAGCAAACAGAGCGGAATCAATGGCACATGTGTTTTTCAAAGAATATATGTGACCTTGAAGAAAAAGAATACGCATAGATTTGATTGTGAATGATGTATTCATCCTTTAGCTTTTTTCTTTATTACCTTTAAATAGCGTATTTTTAACTTCAAATTTGGGCCATTTCAATGTAAAGCCGTTGATTGTTGTTGTTGGATGAGATTGAATTTTAATGCTGGGGTCTTCTGATAGTTGATTAGTTGTCACTTTAACTGCTATCAATATGACGACTCTATTATAATTTGCAAATTAATTTATATCATTTTACATACCTTCGTTAACAGCAATCGAAGTATTTATTTTTATTGAAGATGAGCTCATGTTCAAATTTTTTTCACTTGAACTTCCACTTTTTTGATGATTATTATTTGTCGACAGATCTAAAACGATTGGAATATCATTAGGATATTCATAACTTACCTTGCTAGCCGCTTCAGATGATGATGATGAATTTCTTGTGCTGGAACTAAATGATTCTCTAAATAAAAAAATTTATTGTTTGATATCAAAGTATCATTTCTCTTACGTGATGGATACGTTCTCGCTTGAAGTTTTAGAAGATGATTCCGATTTGTTTGACGAAGAAGTAGTTTTAGTATTTTTAGATTCACTAAACATAAAAGTGGAATCTAATAGATTATAGTTCAAAAGAAGTTACCTGTATTTTTTCGACACGCCGTCTTGTTGAGATTGATCCTCTTCTTGTCGTGCACGTTTCGATGCGAATTTGTCAATTAGCTTTGTGTATTTACCTCGACGACTTTTTCCTTGCGTTCTATTCTTCCAATTTTCAAATATGCCTACATTGTGTCTTCCTCTTTTTCTTCCCTTTGAACCTTGTGTTAATCCAAACTGATCAGCCTTTGATTGAACTTTTACACTTCTATGTAACGCCATGATAACCTCTTGAGGTGGTTTACTTCTTTTTCCTTGACAGATACTTTTTTTTAAAGTGCGGAAATAACTTTCAATCACTGCATTTGAGTATCGGATAGGGTAATATGTTATCGATGTATTTTGCTGCATGTCATTGGCATATCGTTCTTCGAAATTGAATAACAAACCTGTCCATAGTGGTAAGTATGCCCACCACCGATAGAATATACGAATTATCGATGCAGAAAAGAGTGTATTCTTATTGCTACTTTTTATCTTTTTTTTAATTAATATCTCAGCTAGCAGTGGATAACGTGTAACAGCTTGTTTATTAAATGGTGACTGATGAATGATAGCTTCATCTGAATCAAAATATTCGTCGACAAGCTTTAATTCTTCTTCCTTTTTTTCAGCTATTCTAAAAATATTATCGAAATCTTTTAAAACTGACTCACTTTCTTCATCGACGTTCAATTTAAGAGAACATATTTGATCAACTTTTCTTTTTGCGTTCTGTTCGTTTGGATCACCGAATATATCAATCACCAATCCCAATGTGTCATATAATTGATTGATATCATTGCTACACAACATATAAGCGAATATATATAATACAGTTTCACGCGTTTTCTTGTCAATTTTTTCAGCATTCAAACTTCTTGCAACAGCATGCATGACATGGCAACAGCACAAATGAATAAAAGATAATGATCGAATTTCTTCAGCAGTATATTTGCCATGTATAACATTCCAGCATCGTTTGAGATGTTTGTTAACACTTTCAATATTGAACTGTTGAAGAGCAGCATTCATAAGAGCAGCAGAAAAATCAATAATGATAAATGAAGGTGGACGTAATTTTTTCTTTGTTGTCACTTGATTGACACTATGAATTACATTGCCAAGAAAATAACCAATACTCGGAACTGTGTGATCTGTTAAAATAGCGTGTGCTAGTGGAACATTATCCAATGCATCAATGCCATCTTTGAACATTATTGTATAAACGTATATATCATTTTGGTCTTTCATTGGCTTTAATACTCCACCAGTCGAATCTATATGAATAAAAGAATATTTTTCTTTTTCAACATACCTTATGTATCGCCGTAGTTGTGATTCGGTAAATAAATGTGATCGAAATGGTATTTCGCCCGAATTGTGAATGTATCCTATGAAAAGCAAGCATTAAACCTTCTGCATAGCCTCTTTTTTTCTGAGAAGCTGGGCTTACCTAAAATTTGTTCAGATGTAACATCTTCTGCGCGATAAAAGCAACTTAGAATTCGACATGCTCTGAACACATCTTCATCAAAACGCATTTTCTTTCGATAATCCGCTCCACATTTCTTCACTGCTTCAATGGTCTTACATTGTGAGAAATTACCTGCTGCGAGCATTTTTTCATCAGCCGCCTCCACGATCTCGCGAAATGTTGCTACGGGACCTATCTGATTTGCCCGTTTCCCTAAAATGCATATCAATAATATTAATTTTAAGTCGTGAATTTTAATGTACAAAGATCTTACCAATGGCATCGCGTTCTTCGGCATTCATCTTGCGTGGTCGCATTACATTGTCTTTACTGTGATTTTCTTCGCCATAGACGTCGACACGAAATAACGCCATAAAGTCATTATCAATCTCTCTTCTATGACTTACTATATATTTTCTCTTACATATATCACCTGTACAGGTTGCACTGAACCAAAAGTCAGAACAGTTACGTTTTCTTATGCCGCGCGGGATATTAGGAGAATGAAAACATAATGAGCATGTATTACCGATAGACTTCAATTTCTTATCAAAAATACTGGTCCAGCCTGTGTTCGTTTTCTTATCAGTACGGCTATATGCACTTTTCCATTCATTACGAGTAAGAGAAATAAATTCTGTTCTAATACAATGACGTTCATAAATATTGCCACTTGCAACAGCTTTTTGATAAGCACGTGTGCTGGGTGGTTCATGAAGAGGTAATGATGATTGGGATGGCAATGTTGCAATAATTTTCTTACCGATGGAACCATTTTCTGCTTCGTTCCCATCATTGCTATCTCTTTCTTTCATCTCCTCGATCTCTATCTCCTTCTTCTTTGCTTCAACAAGTTTACAAATTTCATGTCGATCTGAATGCCATATATTGTACAATGAATGACGAATTTTTTCATCATCATCAAGTTTCAATTTATTAATAACTTCACTCCAATATGAGCTAGAAGATTTACTTTTATGAGTAAAGCGCCATGAATCATCTTTGAGTTGTTTAGTACGCTCACCAAGAGAGCTAATGGCAGTGACCAAGTCATCTAAAGAAATTAGTGACCAAATATCCTTACCTGTATTATTTACGTCTGATTCAGTCATTTTGAATAATCAAATAGAATAATGTTGGAACTAGAGAAAAGATAATATCTTCTTGAAAGATTTTATGCAGAAACGTTGTAGTGATTATTGTTTTAAACAATTTGTAGCTTTTTGAAATGAAGATTCAACTAAGATATATATATATATATATCTACCTATCTGGTATAGAAAAAACATATTCAAATAGACCAATCCTATAATAGATGAAATCATATATTATACTATTTAATTTTGTACGACATTCATCAGATATTACGTTATTTTTCATCTTTTTCCAATCTATCAATGTCATTACTTATATATCTTCTATCCTAGAAAAAATTAGATTATATCTTATCCATCTAAAAGCGGTGTCCAAATTGAAAAAGAAATTTTTCTCTTAATCACTTTCATTGTTATAAGTAGATTATCAAAACTTTTTATCTACTTCTCTCTATGCAAAGATCTACCACAAGAACAATTTGATTGAAATTATAACGTATGAATAGATATAATATATTCGCAATAGATAATATCAAAATTAAATGAAGCGGAACCCACTACAGACATTCACTGATTACTTATATAGTGTTCTCTTGATAGTTAAGCAAAATTCATATCGACAAATTATATTAAAATCATTCGATTGCATTATTATCTCCTTTCTTCGCTAATCTGATTTCTTTTCATACATCATTCATCAACAAATTTTACATATTTTCATATTTTCTACTCACAGAATTCCCACATCATAATGCTATGTCTGATGTATCAATCTAAGGCCACAATAATATAACTCCACGAACTGCCATCTCCACGAAATGGTCGTTCCAGTTCCTTTCTCATTACTATTTTGAAACAACAAACACTAAACAAAATCATTATATTTTATCCAAAGCCTCCTCTTATTCTTTCCTAACCGCACAGTTCATCCTTTCAAAATTCAATTAAAGAGATTTTTATTAAATGTGCATCTCATCAAATAACTACTTTTTATTCAGTCAATTGAAAATAACATTAGTACAAAATACAAAAATCTACATATCAAACAACATGAAAAAACAAACTAAATCAAATTAAACAAAATCATATACCCAAATATATAAGCACAACAATAAGAAAGGACACATTATCAAAAAACAAGAAAAAAAATGTAAAACAAACTGATACTCAACACAAAACACAAACATACATGTCATATTATAAAAATATGTAAAATAATAAAAGACATATGATAAATCGATTTAAAACATTTAATAAAAACAACAAGAAATGAATATAATATTTCTAAAAACTAAATCAAAGAAACAATCT